CCCCAAAACCCCAAAACCCCAAAACCCCATATTCCCTCTTAACATTGAACTCTCAACAACAAATCTCCCCTCTTCTACTCTACAAACTTATACAAATCCCGCTGCTCTGCCAGCACCTGCTTCGGGCGCACACAAGTCGTAGAAGGAGGCTTTGGCCTCCTGCCAAGGGACTCGTCCTTCCTGAAGTCTACAGGTGAGCGATAAGAGTACTTGTGCTTGTGCTAGCTGGACAGTTGGTGATTATAGAGGTAGATGTTGATTTTGGGTAGACTTTTCGGTCGGTTTTTGGATGGTAAGAGGTTTTATCTATACCAAAAGATGGGAATGCTATTGATTGGGATTTTTGTTGGAAATACATCCGCAGTTGAGGTTCATAATAGATATCTAAGCTTACCTAAAGTTCTATAATTTGACTGGGAAAGAAATCTTGTTTTAGGTCTTTTCCCTGATACACAAAGCTCTGTATATCTAGTCTCCTGTTGAAATTGAGATAATTGATTCTGAAGAAGAATAGATTTGTTATTCTGATTTAGCCTCTCAAAACTTCTTTTTCTCAATCTTTTCAGATCCAGAAAATTAAGATCTTGGCGTAAACATTAAATCTTACTAAATTTTCTAGGAGGGCTCTTTATCTTGATTCCTTTTTGATGATTTAGCCTCTGGAGATTTGAAGAGTCTAGTAATCTTTTCTATATTATTAGTTATTTAAGCAACAGATAGTTTTCTTGAAGTATACCTTAAACTGGACCTTCCAGTCAATTTTATTCTTGTACCTAAACGAAGTAATGATATCATTAGCCTGCGTACATTTTTAGGAACTTGTTGTAATTTCCAAAATCAGCTATCTTAGAATACGAAACAACCCGTTCTATAATGTAAGCATCAGCTATTACTGTCATTGCCAAAGCTTTGTTGGATATTTGAATCATTTGTAATTTTAGCCTTTGAGCAATTCAATAGCCGTTTCTGAGACTTCCTTTGGCTTGCCATAAAACTTTTGTCTATCCTACTTGGTGCATCTGTTTTTACTTGTTCTGGAGAATTATAGATTAAGTTATTTTCTCAGTCCAACTTTGGTATCCATTCATGATAAATCACCTTGTAAGAGATTTTAGAAAAGTTTGCGATATTTCTCAAAGTAGTTATCGTATTACTCCGTTTAAGCAAAGCTTTGGACGTGAAACTTACCATCTTCAAGGACGTTTATCAAGTCCTGGTTCTTAGTTTTGAGGGGATTTTTGAGTTTCGGGCTCATTCTTGGAGGCCTATCCCTACTTCTTATCATCCACAAGTTCTTCCGATTCTTTCTAGAGCATGCATTTCTGACAGTTCTATGATGATTCTTCCTCTCACTACTTGAAGCTTCACTCTGATTATAAGATTGATTCTAAAAATCCCACAAAAAATTACAATTTTCGTATTTAATTTAAACTCTTTCTTCCTTTTGAGCCTGTAAAAGGTCATGCTCTCGATTCTGCTCTTCTTGCCTTGGATTACATAATTGTTCATTTTATTTCAATAATTGCTTACACAAAAGGGGTTTTGGGGTTTTGGGGTTTTGGGGTTTGGGGTTTTGGGGTTTTGGGG